TATCTGAAAGACTGCCTACGTATCCTCTTGCCCAAGGAATCAAGCCGAACGTAATTCATCCAAATGGCCGCCAACGGCCTCAACAATCATGAATGTGCAACAAGTTTCGACAATGATCAAACTTGTTGCTCGGAACCACCTTAGTGAGCATATCTGCCGGATCATCCTTCGTGTGGACTTTCACAATTTCCACATCGCCATCTTCAAGAACATCCCAAACGAAGTGATAACGAACGTCAATGTGCTTCGTCCGCGCATGAAAAACCTAATTCTTCGCCAAATAGATAGCACTCATGCTATCACAATGAATAGTGACGGACCTCTGCGATATACCAAGTTCCTTCAAAAGTCCTCGAAGCCAAATAGCCTCCTTCACAGCCTCCGTAACTGCCATATACTCTGCCTCCGTCGTAGACAAAGCCACCGTCGACTGTAAGGTGCATCTCCAACACACCGGCGCACAGGTCAAAGTCCAATGCATAGCTGCCCATCTGTAGTGTCCCGCTCATAAACTAAACCAACATTGAGTGTACCTCGAATGTACCTCAAAATCCATTTCACAGCGTTCCAATGACCCACTCCTGGATCATGCATGTATCTCGATACCATGCTTACTGCCTGTGATAAATCTGATCTCGTACATACCATTGCGTACATCAAGCTCCCAACCGCACTCGCATATGGAGTCTTCGACATCAACTCACGATCTTCAACTGACTTCGGTGAAAGACCAGCTGAAAGCTTCAAATGGGCTCCCAAAGGTACACCAACTGGCTCCGTATCCATGCTAATATGGAATCGCTATAGAACCTTCTTCAAATAAGCCACCTGTGTCAAACAAATTCTGCCCTTCTTCTTGTCTCTGCCGATCTCCATCCCTAGAATGCGCTTCGCCTCACCCAAGTCCTTCATCTCAAACTTATTTGAAAGCTGAACTTTCAACTCATCTATAGCCGACCTGGAAGTAGAGGCAACTAACATGTCATCGACATAGACCAACAAATAAATATATGCACCTCCTTTCAACTTGCGAAAATATACGCAAGGATCAAACTGGCTCCGAGTGTACGAATGACCAATCATAAAACCATCGAATCACCTATACCATTGTCGAGGAGACTGCTTCAAACCGTATAGCGATTTCTTCAATCTGCAAACTAATTTTTCCTTCCCTGCAGCTCGGAATCCCAATGGCTGAGTCATATATATTTCTTCATCAAGATCACCATGAAGAAATGCCATCTTCACATCCAACTGATCTAACTCTAAACCATACTGTGCCACCAAAGCTAGCAAAATCCGAATCGAAGAATGCTTCACCACCGGAGAGAAAACCTCATTATAGTCAATACCTTCCTCCTGTGCATAGCCCTTCGCAACCAACCTAGCCTTGAACCTGAATGGAGTGCCTTCAATGCCCTCCTTCTTCGTGTATACCCACTTGTAACCAATTGCCTTCCGCCCCTTTGGAAGCTCAACAAGCTTCCATGTATCATTCTTATGAAGAGATTCCATCTCCTCCTGCATAGCCACCTGCCACGAATCAGCCTCCGAACTCTGCTCGGCCTTTCTGAATGTAGTAGGCACCAACTTATCGATACTCTCCATCGGAAGTGCATACGCAACTGTGTCGGCATACTGTGCTGGTATCTGTATGTTTCTCTTTTTTCTCCGAACCGCAATCGAACCTGAACCTGAGTCGTCGGTCCCTAATCCTGCACATCAGTACTCGTATCCTCCGTGTCACCGTCGTGCTCGCCTGGCGTCACCTCAGTCGGCACCTGCATGGATACTGTACCATCTGGACAATATGGAGCTGCATCAATCTCCACCACCTGCGACTGAGAAGCTTCAAGATAGAAGCCTCATCGAATGTGACGTCCCTACTCAGCACAATCTTCTTATCCACTGGATCCCAAAGCTTGTATCCCTTGACACCACGCTTGAATCCTACAAATATGGCCTTCCTAGCTCGAGGTTCTAATTTATCAGTTCTAACATGATAATATAAAGGGCACCCAAATACCTTGAGCTGGTCATAATCATGTGCTGGCTTTCCCGACCACATCTCCATAGGGGTTTTCCCCTCAATCGCAGATGAAGGCAGCCTATTAATGAGGTGGCTCGCATATGTAAGTGCCTCAGCCCAAAAGATCTTCTCCAAACCACTTTGCGACAATAAGCATCGGATCTTCTCCAGTAAAGACCGATTGAACCTCTCTGCCACCCCATTTTACTGTGGTGTATGACTAACTGTGAAGTGTCTCTCTATGCCCTCGTCTCGACATAGCTGCTGAAAGGGGTCAGAAGTATACTCACCACCGTTGTCGGATCGCAACGTCTTGATCTTTCTCCCAGTCTGCAGTTCCAATCTCTTCTTCCACTCCACAAACAAATCTAGGACTTCACTCTTCTTCGTCATGGTGTACACCCAACAACGCCTAGAATAGTCATCTACAAAAGTGACGAACCAATGTCTACCACCAAGTGATGCAGTCTTGGTGGGACCCCAAACGTCTGTGTGCACGTAGTCCAGGATGCCCCTCGTCTGATGAATGGCAGTCCCGAACTTCACCTTCGTCTTCTTGCCAAGAACACAGTGCTCACAGAACTCAATCTTCCCACTCTTGGCTCCCTTCAATAGCCCCTGCTTGCACAATGCCTGCAGTGACTTTTCACCTGTGTGCCCCAATCTATAGTGCCAAAGTCTGCTCATGTCCGCTTCTGAAATAGCCGAAGCAACCTGGCCAATCTCGGTGCTTCCCTTCAGATAATACAAATTCCGATTGCGGACTCCCCTCATCACCACCAATGATCCCTTAGTAACCTTCGCTACAGCGTTTTCGAAAGTCACCTTGAATCCCTTCGCCTCCAAAGCTCCAACTGAGATAAGATTTTTCTTCAGTTGAGGAACAAATCTCACCTCCTTCAACTCACGGACTACTCCATCGTGCATCCTAATCCGTACGGTACCTATCCCACAAACGCCACAGGATTGATCATTTCCCATGACAACAACGCCCCCGTCGACTTTCTCAAAAGATGCAAACCAGTCTCGCCTAGGGGTCACATGAAAGGTAGCGCCGGAATCAAGCATCCAATCTGATGCATCCACATGGTTCACCTCCGGAGTAATCAGTAGAGAAAAGCACGAATCATCGGAATCATCGCCTTTCGCAATGTTCACCTCATTGGCCTTCGGGCCCTTTTTCTTGCTATTCTCCTTCTCTTTGAGCTTCGGGCAGTCTCTCTTCCAATGTCCCTGCTCCTTGCAGAATGCACATTGGTTCTTTGTTAATTGGTGGCGGCCTCTAGACTTTGACCTCCCTCTGTTACCACCTTTCGGATATGGGCTTCTACCTCTTGTCGACAAGGCCTCTCCTGAAGTACTAGCGCGGGAAGTCTCCTTATCCTTCCTCCTCAAATCGTAGTTCGTCAAAGCGTTAGTCACTTCACTATAGCTGATAGAAGATCTCCCGTTCAACAAAGTGAGCACGAAGGTATCATACTCCTCATCCGGTAAGGAGCCCAACAAAATAATCGCCTTGTACTCATCCGATATCTTCTCATCAACATTCGCCAAGTCCGACAACAACTTCGTATAGTTGTTCACATGAGCCGCAAGCGAGGTGCCTCTGGACATCTGGAATCTGAATAACCTACGCAGCAAGTGCAATCGGTTCTCAACACTCTTCGTAAGGTACTTATTGTTGAGAATTTCCCACATCTTCATCGCAGACGTCACCCCAATCACATCATACTTCAGCTCCTGTTCCAAACAGGACCTGATCACCCCACAAGCGTTCCTATTCATTTTCTCCCATACCGCCTCTTCATATTTAGGTGGTCTTTCGTGGACCATAATGGTCTCTTCCAAATTCTGAGCATTGAGCGCATCCTGTACGTCGCTCATCCACAAACCAAAGTTGATTTTGCCGTCATACTTCACCACACTAATTTTATTGTTCTGAAAACCAACTTGTATTGTACCCGCCATCGATTTGCTGCTTTCACCTTCTTCTCACATTGCAAACTAACTCCAAATTATAGAGAAAGAACAAATTTGATAGAATTAGGAACCACCCAACTGAACCCTAGATCGGATTCCAAATAGATCTCCTATCCACACGAGGAAAGCGAAATCTCCAATGACAACTCCTAATGCTATCTCCACCGAAGCCTAGAACTCCAAGAACCAAGCTTCACACAAGAATCTTCCTCCACCAAAAAACCCTAGATCTGAAATCTGGGCTCTGATACCACTTGTTGCGCGCAGCGGAAATTTCGACAGCACTTCGACAACACAACAAGAGTTAGGTCGCAATAAGAATTCTTGTGTCTCAAAGGAAACAAGAATCTGAAGCCTAATATCCCATCAAAGTGGGATATTTGCTCTTCCTCTCGTCAGCTCTAGGACTGCGCGTCGAGGGAACCTAAAAGCTATTACAAATCACACAATAGCAGTACAACCAATTTTTACGTGGTTCGGCAAATTGCCTACGTCCACGGGACAAGGATGTGGAAGATCTACTAATAGAGGGAGAGATTACAACTAGGGTTTACAATCACTCACAAACTAAACCCTCAAACAAACTCTCAAATCCCTCACAATAACTCTCTACAAAAGGATGCACAAACCCTAACAAAAGCTGATGCTTTTTCTTTTGCACCTTCTCTGTAGCCACAACTTGCTCTCCTGTAGCCGCAAACAATCAACCCCGCAAACAATCTCTTGTAGCCGCAACTTTTCCCTCTGCCTCAGCCACAAAAGAGAAAAGAAACAAAGATGCCTTGCACACGGACCTAGGGCAAAATAAGCTATATTTATAGCATATATATGCATGGGCCGGACGCAGTTTTCCTCCAACGCGGAAACGAGCCCGCCTTTCATTCACGTGGTAGACCCCACCACGTTCACAAAAACTATTTTAGTGACCCGGGCCATATATTATTTGTGAGGAATGCCTCACATCTATTCGTTTCAAAGAGTGGGTTTAGTATAACCAAGGCATAAGTTGGGTACTCCAACTCTGGGAGCAAAAGGCAAAAAAAAAAAAAAAACATTTATATGAGCTTGGACTCATAACTCAATAAGGTTAATATTTTTGAGTCATTTGTGTCCAAGTATTTTAGTCTAGTCCATCTCCGATCATGGGCTTTTGCAACTCATCGTCATTGTATTTGGAGCAAGGCGTTCATGTGTGGTCATCAAAATTCGGGCCTAAATCAGTATGAAGATGTGTTGTATGAGCTTCTGGAGCTTGTGGACTTGTTCGGGAGATTTTAAACAGCCTACAGGGGTTGATATCGTAGCTATGGGATTATCCTCATCATATTCTTGGTGTTATATTTGTCCTTTATTTTACATGCTTAAGGGACAGTAAGCTTTTTTAGTCGTTTCCTATCAGAAAAAAGTCCTTGGGCATTATTGCCGGTGGTTTACGGTTTAATATCATAAATGTGACTCTAAGGTGGTCGCAGATTACCTGATTGATATCAAAAAATTTTCACTTCATTCCTCGTTTGAGCTCAAACATAACCGTTGTGTATCCTTTGTAGCTTGAATACTTCTACTGATTTTGTGGTATACTAAGCTCCTCACTCGATTACAGTAAGACAGAAAGTGCTTGATTTTATGCTTTTGTTTGAAGAAAGGTCTCAGCCTGATACACTCTTTTCTGTTATACAAACAGAATATGCACCTATCTTCCTGCATCATAACCTTGGCTCAAGGAGTTCATCTCTCACAGTAGAATTATTGATGTCATCTCTGGTGAAATTTATCCTTAGACATCATACACACTGGAATCTCAAAGGCTCAAACAGTCAAAAGTATGTTCACTAGCTATCGTCTCTTTCCTTATTGTGAGGTATCTACAGATGATTTGTTCACATTTAACATGATAACAATTTTTGCTTACATCTACTTGTGTGGTCTGTTGATGTGTCAATTGAATTCATCAGACATTGTTAATTATAGAATCTTGCAGTTGATATACTTCATTTCACAAAACAATAATTGGGTCACTATTATTTAATTAGACCATATTTTACATAGGCAGATGGCAAAAGAAACTAATGTGTTATGCATATGTGAGCTAATGCTAAATTCGTTTCTTATCGAAATTCAAACCCTCATTTCCTGAAAAGGGGTGGAAAAAGATAATAATAACCTCAAACCCTCATACTTTTGTAAAGCTACGCATGTTGGTTTACTCTCACCTTTTTGTCGGCCTTATTTGCATTTTTTGGCTCTTCATGTTATTTTTTTAAG